GGGGGGGGGTTGCTCCAAAGTTGAAACTCATGTGTTTTCCTGTTTCCTTTCCTCTTCCTTTTCTGCCTGTAATTCCTACCCTTTCCTATGTCTCTTTCTTAGTTTTGTTGAGATCTCAATCCATTCTCATGATTGCTAAGTTTTTGTATATATGTAGGAACAAAATATCCCTATGAAATAATAGTGATGTGGGGCTCCTGGCCTTTTTTTTCCCACAGAGGAACAAAGAAACAGCATCATCAACTCCAGTTTAGAATCTGTCGTCTCATCAAATGCAAACAGCATCCTTAATTCCAGCAGCAGCTTACAGCCCAACATGAACTCCAGTGACCCGGATCTCGATGTGCTCAAACCCACCCGGCCCAACTCGCTGTAAGTATGATATACGGCTGCCTGCCACACCGTAGGCCCTTGCTGAGCTATTCCACCTGGAATTGGCCCTCTGGCCCCATCTGACTCTGAGCATTGTCCTGTGAACATGATTTTAACCTTCTTCCTAAGTGTGGAGCTTGGCTAGTTTGTTGTGGATTTTTTTAAGCATCATCATCTCAGAGGGGAATCATTATTCTTAGCATACCGCTTCTTGGCCTTGGTGATCTTTGATTTACCATCCTGCTGAGGTGGCTTTGGTGATGGCTACTGACTGTGCTGGCTGCTGGGCATGAAAAGCAATTTCTTTTAGTTTTACAAAACATCCAGGCACTGTAGTAACTCAGAAGATCAGTAGCCAAGTCTGCTTCTCTCATTTATGTTGTCTTGGTTTCCCTTCTCCCTGATGATGTGGAGTATGTCCAGTGCTACCTCTGTGTCTCCTTCTAGAAAGAATAGCTCTCCAGTAGCCCTTTGAGTTTCCAGATCCTCAAACCTTAGCATGACTGTGATCACATATCAGAGGCTAGAAAAGAGAAGAATCTTTGTTACTTCACCTTTGGGTGGTAAACACCCATAGCCCAGAACAGGCAGTTTTGGGGCTGCTTGTCCAGTCCTCCTCGGAAAGTAGATCCACTGTCTTGCGGTTTCCTCCCAAATTGCCTAGCATGCTTCCTCAGACCAACGCATAAATCCTGTCAATCGGAGCCTTTGCAGAAAGTATGTGAGGCCATGACCAGCACAGCTGGACCGTCAGGCTAGAGTTGTATAAGACTCGGGAAAAATGGAGCTGACCTTGCCTTTCTCTAGTAAAAATAGTTTGAGGTTCAGCCACAGATTGCCTTCAGAGCAGTCATTGCACTTAGTGAGTCACCAGGATACGAGAACCTTCTCCTACCCCTCTCCGTGCCTTGGTTGCATCCTCACACCCTGCCATTCTATGTCTCTAAGATATTCACGGTTTGTAGAGCTGCATAATGGGTCCAACAATTTTTGCCTTGGAGGAGACTAAGGGATATTAAGGCTTGGGGGTGGGGCTGGGGAAAGAACTCTAAAGTGGACTTAAGGGGTGCTTACACTGCAGATGAAACAGTAGCATCAGATGAAATCATACACTGGGAAAATAATGGTCTGTTTTCAGTGGTCGGCAGCTTTAAATCCTACCTCGATGTTCAGGAAATGGAATTACTTCCCTGTTACCTGGTGGGAAATACGGTTATTCACCAAGAAGTATACCAGTGCCTCAAGAGCTCAAAATAATTTAACTTGTTCAGCTTATGTGTGGTGGGTCTCTTCTGCTTCTCCACGGCCATGCTTGCCTGTGGAGGCTCTGTGTCTTGCCGTCTGGCTCTGTCAAGCGCTCCTCTATCTGCTTTCGTAGACTTGAAGGACATTCTGGTTTCTTCTTCCTCTCTCTTCCCCTCTCCCCATTTTGTCCAAACTTCTGTACCTGTCAGTAACTGATGTGATTGGTTGCTCAGCATGAGCGAGGTTGAATTTCTAGCCCAGGTTGCTTACTGTCCCCTGATGGTAGCCAGCAGAACCAATTAGTGGTCTTTAATCTTTGTTTTAAGTAGCTGGGAGCCCCCTGAGTCATCACTGAGTATGGTATGTCCGAAGGGACTGCTTTGGCAGCAAAGTGATAAATGGGACAGTGTTTTTTTAAACAGGTCCTGGAGCAAGGAACTTTGGATTTTTATTTTTCAGTTGTCTAGATGTGATTTGTTTCACATAAAACACTGGGGGTCACTCTGCCTGCCTCACACCATCCATAGTGACTGTTCCCTGCCTGCTGCACAATTTGGGGGCTTTCCCAGGGAAGGAAGGGTGATGCCAGGAACAATTGGACTTTGTTTGACTTTCAAGGAAAGTTGGATGTAGGAGTGTGGAGGTTTCCAACAAGACTGCTCTCCTTCTAGGCTTCTAGTGAACACCTTCCTGATATCAATAAGTCTTGAGCTCAAGGCTGTTCCTGAAGTAGAAGCAGTATTGATAGTGGCACTGACACCAGAGTTTGCCACGGCCCTGAACAGGGGCCACACGAAAGGCCCTGTGAGCTCTACAGCAGGTTCACTGACCATTTCTGAAACCCAAGGCAGTGAGATGCCATTTCCAAGTCTGTGCTGCCTTCATTTTTCCTGCCTGTGATTTGCTTGGGTGGACTATGGACAGAAACTAGGCGATCCTGGCAACAGAAGCCACAATACTTAGCCTAAGAAAACTAATTCTGAGAAGCCTGTCAGCACGGTATGCCATGGTGATTGGGCTCAGTCACAACCAGCGGAGACCCTGGGGAATGAAAGGGTCCATTCCCTCCATCATTGTTCACTTTAAAGTACACAGAGATCCTTGAATGGGAACACTTAATGATGCAGATGAAAACAGAAAACAAAGTCGGGGGTGGGGGATTACCATTAGTTTGAATATTAATTAGGCATAAGGTGGGGAACCAGTCACCAGAAGCTGTCTGTTCTCCTTTTTATTTCATATATTTGCTTTTCATTGTTTTCATAATGACTGGAACGGTCATTATGACCGTGTAATAGTCATAATGAAAGGAACATGCTTTGTGACTCAGCATCCTTTGGGACCACATTTTGCTGTCTCATTGGTAAAACTTTCCTAATTCTCCAAGGAGATCAGGGCCCTCTTGTTTGTGTGGGCATAATGCTAAATCAGGCATCAAAATTAGAGATGCACCATTCGAGCCATGCCAGGGCAAGGCTGCAGTGTTTGCATCTTTGGCAGACCTCCTAAAATGTACCCATCTCTCCTGAAGATCAGAAGACACCTAAGTCAGGACCAAAGTCCAGTCTAAAATTGTCAGCAACTATTGCTGATCTACTGTGTGGCCAGACCTTTGCTAAGCTACCAGGGGTAAAAGAGAAAAAGAGGATTTCTGGCCTTCCCAAGAGTTTATAAAGTGTGTCTGAGGAGGGAGGACCATGTATATGGCAGTGCTAAGTGGGATTTATAGTGCATAAGTGCTTTTAGAGTTTACCAACTTTTTTTTTTAACATGTATTTATTTTTGAGAGATAGAGACAGAGTAGGAGTAGGGGAGGGGCAGAGAAAGAGATACACAGAATCCAAAGCAGGCTCCAGGCTCTGAGTTGTCAGCAGAGAGCCTGATGTAGGGCTTGAACCCATGAACTGTGAAGTCGTTATCTGAGCCAAAGTCGAACGCTTAACCTACTGAGCCACCCAGGAGCCCCCAGAGCTCACCAACTTTAAACTGATTATGTTGAGTACACGCGCCAGTGAGAATATCGGAAAGGGTGGCTAGATGAAATGTGAGGTTGGCGTTAGCTAAGATTTTATAGATCAAAATGGATGGATGAAGGTCATTGCAGGTAAGGGGGAATGAGGGAGGCAAAGATGATCCACAGTGGAGAAAAACAGCCTACAGACGTGCATGCTGGGAGAAAGGGAGCTTCCTTTCTCCCCTACCACTACCACCAAAAAACAAAACAAAAACAACACCTACTAAGCCAACATTTATTTATTTATTTGTTTGTTTGTTTGTTCATACTTAAGCAATCTCTAAACCCAACATGGGGCTTGAACTCATGACCTTGAGATCAAACCAACTTGTCGTGCTGGAACAACTAGACATCCACGTGCAAAATAGGTAGGTAGGTAGGTAGGTAAGTAGATAGAGATACAGACTTGATACCTTTCAAAAAATTAACTCAAAATGGATCATAGACTGAAACGTAAAATGCAAAACTATGAAATCTCTAGAAGATGACCTAAGAGAACATCTAGGTGACCTTGGGTTTGGCAATGACTAGGAACATAATCCATGAAAGGAAAAACTGGTAAGTTGGACTTCATTTAGGTTAAACACCTATGCTGTATGAAAGATACTATTAAGAAAAAGAAAAGCCAAACCCAAAATAGGAGAAAATATTTGCAACACACATCCCTGATAAAGGATCGGTGTGCAAAATATATACAAAGAAATCTTAAAGTTCGGTAATAATTCAACAAACAGCCCAATTAAAAACTGGGCAAATGATCTGGATGGGCACCTCACTAAGGAAAACATTTAGAGGTAAATAAGCATATGAAAAGATGCTCAACATCTTAGGTCATTAGGGAATCGCAAATTAACACAATGAGATCTCTCTGTACACCTGTTAGAATGCCTAAAATCTAAAACAGTGACACCACCAAATGCTATTAGGATGTGGAGCAAGAGGAATTCTCATGCGTTGCCAGTGGGAATGCAAAATGAGATACCCCCTTTGAAAGACAATTTGGCAGTTTCTTAGAAAGCTAAACATAGATTTCTCATACAACACGGTCCAGCAATCACACTCCTCAGTGTTGACTCAAATGAGTTGAAAACTGAAGTTCACACAAAAACCTGCCCATGAGTATTTATAGCAGCTTCATTCATAATTGCTAAAACTTGGAAGCAACTAAGGTGTTCTTTAGTAGGTGAGTGTATAAACCAACTGTGGTACATCCAGACAATGGAATATAATTTGGTGATAAAAAGAAGTGAGCTGTGAAGTCATGAAAGAAGCCACTCTGAAAATACTACAAAATGGTATGATACCAAATATCTGACCTTGTGAAGAAGACAAAACCATAGAGTCAGTTAAGAGATAAGTGGGCAGGAGGGAGGGGTAGTTGGAACACCGGGCATTTTTAGGGCAGTGACACCATTCTGCATGGTACCGTAACAGTAGGTATCAGACAGTACGCATCTGTCAAAACCCATAAAACCAGTGGGTCACGGAGTGAATCCTCACATCAACCATGGACTTTAGTTACTAATAATGTATCAGATGGGTTTGTCACTTGCAACAAATGTACCTCACAAATGAGAGATGTTAATTACAGGGGAATTTAGGCAGTGGGGAGACATTTCATGGAAACTTTAGTTATTTTGAGCAGTTTTTCTGGAACCTGAAAACTGCTCTAAAAAATTAAGTCTATTAATACATCTTTTTTTAAATCTGGATTTCCAACTTCTTTTGAAAAGTTAGATTT